CCCCAAAACCGGGGGATTTTCACAGAAAGGTCAGGCGCGGCGGAGGGGCAGCACTCGGGCCAGGGGTTCGAGCCCACGTTTAGGGGACGGTGCAGCTGGGGAGCTGGGGGGGAGGAGGGAGCCCCCCGTTTAGGCCTCCTGCGTGCGTGCGCGCTTGGGCAAGCTTGCATCTAGTGTGTCGTGTCCCCCCCCCCAGCTCCGTGCAGTGCCGGGCAGCTGTGTGCACAGGTCTGTGTGTTGCGACAGGCGGGCGCGGCGCTCTTGCACACACCGGGTGCGGGTGTGCTTGCTTGACGTGCTGTGTGCGTGCTCCCCGCGCGCTCATGCACACTTGATGCCACGGTCTTAGCTGCACGCTTCATGCATGTTCTTTTCACACGCTCCATGCCCACTCCTTCCGCATGCTCCGTGCGTGTCCTCTGCAAGCCCTGCACACACGCTGTCTCCTCATGCTCTTTGTACGCTCACTGCATGCTCCGTGCACGCTCTCTCTGCACGCTCCATGCATGCCCTATGCAAATGCTGCATGCATGCTCTCTTCGCACGCTCTGTGCATGCCCGCTTGCAAGCTTCGCGTATGTTCTTTTCTCACACTCCATGCACGGTCTCCCTGCATGCTCTGTGCACACTCTCTGCAAACACTGCATGCACGCTCTCTCCACACGCTCTCTCCGCATGCTCTGTGCATGCTCTGCGCAGACTCTCTCTGCACACTCGTGCTCTCTGCACACCCCATGCACACTCGGAGAGCGCTCCCGATGCTGGCACGCTCTCGCAAATGCCATGAACAGTCTTACCTGCACGTTCCATGGATGCTCTCTGCACGCTCCATGCACACCCTCTGCACGCTCCATGCACGCTCTCTGCACACGCCATGCACGTTTTCTCCACATTCTCCATGTGCGTGCTCTTCACACAATCCATTCAGTCTTAGCTGCACGCTCTGTGCATGCTCTCTCTGCACACTGCGTGCGTGCTCTCTCTGCACACCCTTGTGCATGCCCTCTTGCGCCCTTTGTACGCGCTCTCTCTGCATGCTCCAGGCGCGCTCTGTCCACGTGTCCTCTTGCATGCTCGGGGCATGATCCGTCTGCACACTCTGTGCATGCTCTCTCCACACATTTCGCGCACGCTCTCTCTGCACGCTCTCCGCATGACATCCCTGCACACGCTGTGTACGCTCTCTCTGCATGCTGTGCACATGCCTCTTGCACGCTCTGTGCACACCCTCTCTGTTCGCTCTGTGCACGCTCTCTCTGCATGCTCCAGGCATGCTTTCTCTGTGCACTGTGTGCATGGTCTCTCTGCACGCTTTCTTGCATGCTCCGTGAATGCCCTCTTGTGAGCTCTGTGCATGCTCTCTCTGCACACTGCACGCGTGCTCTCTCTGCATGCTCTGTACATGCCTTCTTGCATGCTCTGTGCACCCTCTCTCTGTGCATTGCATGCATGCTCTCACTGCACGCTCCGTGCATGCCCTCTTGCACGCTCCATGATTGCTCTCTCTGCACACTGCATGCACGCTCTCTCTGCGTGCTCTCTCTCCATGTTCCGTGCATGCCCTCCTGCGCGCTCCACGCATGCTATCTCTGTGCACTGCCTGCATGCTCTCTCTGCACACTCTGTACGTGCCCTCTTGCACACCCTCTCCTGCACGCTCCTGGCAAGCGCGCATGCTTTCTGCACGCTCCCTGCACGCTCGTCCCGGCGAGAAAGCCATTAAAGCGACACCCCAGGAAGGTGGGGACGGAAGAGGGGAGCTCTGGGTGGGATCAATAGCAAATTAGTGACTTTACGCCCAGCCGAACGATGCCTGGTGGCGGGAGCAGGGCCGTGACAGTGTCCCCGCTCGCTTGCTGCCGCCGAAGCGCGCACATGTCCCCCCCGCTCAGGCGCTGATCTCCACGGCGTTGGCCTCCTCCTGCTCCCGGATGACGTGGACGCCGGCAGTCCGCAGCAGCCGTGGGGCACCACGGGAACGCGCCGGTGAACCCGGTGGCGACCTGTGCGTCCGCGTCGAGGCAGGCGAGCGAGCCGGCGT